CCTCTCTCGTCGTCCTTCATTGTCTTCCTCACGTCATCATCGTTTTCCTCACCGTCTTCCTCCACCTGTGCCTTCGTTCACATCTGCGTTTCTCCCTCCTCCTCCTCCTGAAGGAAGAAAATTGAAGAGTAAGAAGGGAAGGACACAGAGGAGGTGGAATAGGAAGAGGAGGAAGACGAGTCGGATAAAGAAGGAGAGGAAGAGGAGATTGAATTAAGAGTCCCCCCCCTCCCTGTCCCCTCCTCCTCCTACCCTCCTCCCTTCGTTTTGCTCCCTCCCCCTGCCTGTATCCTCCCCCTCCTTTGCTCCCTCCCCTTCCTTTGCCCTTCCTCTTGCCCCCCCCCTTCCCCCTACCCTACCCTTACTCCTGCTCACACATTGTTGTTTTGTTGTAGTGTTTATTACCATCACGTTATTAATATCATTATTAATATTATTATTATCATTAACATCGTTATAGCATTATAATACTCGTTATTATCATTTAGATTTTTTTTATTATTACTCTCATCGTTACTATTTCTATTATGAATAGTAATATTCTGTTTCTTATTTGATTTTTTTTCCATTCAAACGCACCTCTCCCGCCATGGGCGCCGAACGAATCGAGAAAGCGAGCGAGAAAGTTTTGGGCCGCGGGTTTTTCGGCCGGGGGGGGGGGGGGATTCTCCTGTGAGGTTTTCGGTATTGAGGTGTCCGGCCAGGAGAGTTTTTCAACCTCAAGGAAGGTTTTGGGAGGTTTTCGGCCGCTAGATTTCCATGGTGGGATTTTGTTTGTTTTCGGCCAGGAGGGTTCCTTCGGCCAGGTTTTTGGTCGTGAATTTTAAGGGTTTTCGACGTTTTAAGCCGCTTAATTGTCCTGGAGTTGAGGTTTCTCGGCCGCGAGACATCCTCCCACTTCCAGGTTTTGGGCCGCGAGGTTCTTCGGCAGGGACGGTGTACTAACTGAAGGGAGAGCAGATGACCGCGTAGCCGTGTTTAACCTTGGAGAACCTAAGGCGTGTTGGACATAGAGAATGTTAATATAAGGGTTATCTGGGGAACCATTTTCACTACGGTTCGATCACCGTCCATATGTTTCACCTTCGTCGTCCTTCTTCTTATTTGCCTCCTCCTTCTTTTCATCCTCTTCTTTTCCTTTTTCTTTTCTCTTCTCTTCTTTATCCTCTTGTTTTTTCATCTCCGTCGTCGTCGTCGTCGTCCTCCTCCTCCTCCTCCTCTTCGTCGTCGTCGTCTTCGTCCTTTTCCTCCTCCTCCTCTTCCTCCGTCTTCCTCGTCGTCTTCGTCCTTTTCCTCCTCCTCCTCCTCGTCCTCCTCCTCCCTTTTGTTCGCGCGTCCTTTGTCTCCTTCCATCTCCACTCCATCACACTTATAAAATTTCCATCTCTCTTCAACACTTCCTGCGTCACTCTCCAACACTCTCCGGCACAGTTCCTTACCCTTTCTCCATCATATCTCAAAGCTTTCTCCATCACTTTCTCTCCTTGGCCATCATCTCCATCTCCTTCCTTCCTCACGCTTATCTACCGTCGAGTTATTATCTATCGATAAGGTTGTTGGCGACAGTCTTGCGGTCTGATGGGTTATAGATAGTGTGTTGTGTGTGTTGTTTGTGTATGTATGTGTATGTACGCTTAAACACACTGATAAAAACGCACACGCACGGACATACGAGTACATTCAGAAACACACACACACACACACACACACACACACACACACACACACACACACACACACACACACACACACACACACACACACACACACACACACACACACAAACGGTCATTTGTACATGTACTTTACATATTAACCATCCCCGTTTTGTGTTTTTCACTTCATTTTTCTGTCCCAATGTTCTTTCTATTTTTCCTTTTTATTTATTTACTTATTTCGGCTCCTTTTGTAAGGTCTAGACATTTTAAACTTTACACAAATTCTTACGCTCGTTATCCATTTCCATTCACAGAGAGGGAGACGCGGATTTCGAAACTTTTTTTTTTTAATATTGCAATACAACCTGCCATGGTGTTGATGGTACCATTAGCGTCGGTATTATTTGCTGTGGTGTACGCGAAACCTCCCGTCATCAGCGAAGTGTTAGCATCGATAATATTTGCCTTCCCTTTTCCTTAAGGGTCATCATCATTATCGAACACCATCGTCGCCATCGTCTTCGTCTTCGTCTTACTCGTCGTCCTCTTCCTCTTCCTCTTCCTTCTTCTCCTCCTCACCACCACCACCCTCCCCCCTCCCATGGCACCGACCCCCCCCCTCCTCCGCGCCATGACGGGTAGAGGCGTGCGTGTGTGAGCGGCGTGCAGTACTGTGCACGGCGTGGCTTCGGCGGCAGTGGCGCTCAGTACAAGCCGGTAGTTGAGAGTTGTAAAGAACATGATCGGTCTGCGCGCGAGGGCGGCCACCAGGCCTTCGGGGAGCGCTTGATGGCATCTGCAAGGGCGCGGGTGCCACGTTGAGGGTATTTTGCCCTCGCCGG